CGGGTTATAGTCGCACGAAATCGCCCATCGGTCGTCTCGGTTCGCTACAATTACTTCCAACAGAATCTCACATTAGACAACCGGAAAACCAAAATTAACTCACGTTATATCTGACAAGTCAGGTTCATTCTTTATTATTTTTCCAAGAAGATCAAATGTGTACTTTGCACAACTTGCAGCAATCGATAGATAAATACTGAGTAACGTTTAATCATTACAGGTTCCTAGACAGGGATTCAAATCATGTGATAGGTTATCGTTTGTCCGGAAAACTGGCATTTGCATATTGCATTGCATTTGTATTTTCCGTTCATTACCGTCATTCCCGAACAGCCGTTAGCTGATTTAAAAAGGTTGTACCTTAAGTACTGCACGTTTGTTAAGACCTCAGTTTACGGTGTCTGCTTTGACTTGCTTTCTGCCAGCATATAATCCAGGACTCGTGCTTGTATGATTTTCCCAAAACGTCCGTCATAAACGACGGCTAGTGTTTCGACAGATTGCTTTAATAAGTAGCGGATCTCCTGCGAACAGCGTCTGCTGGCCACCTATACCTTCATTATTGCAGTCAAAAGCGGTGGATATTTGTTGTTTTCGCTGTCCAGCGTAGCGACCGTGCATAATACAGGGCGAACATTGGGGGTTCATGTGGTACGTTTTGCGGTCACCGCCATTTTATTAACTCTTCTAGCTGACTATGCAGAAGGATAGTTTGAAAAAGAGTCCATTAGCCAGCCTTGGCGTCTTACCTCCGATTTGGTGGTGTAATTATCTGATTGATGGGAGAAAAAAACACCAGCATTGTCTTTATTCTAGTTCCCTATTTATTGTGCGAATAATAATTAAGCGGAGTGAGCAAAGGGCCGGCGCATTCTTCACAGAAGCCGTACGTTTTCCGTCGATATGAAATTTCGAAATCTACCATGGAAGAAATACGAGCGGAGATTTTCTAAAAGCACAATAGTCAGATAGTCAGCTACACATACTATCTAGTGTGACAGGCTCTTAAAAGCTTTCGGCCTTGTTAAGTGTTCTTCATTGTTCCAAAACATTTGCTTGATTGGCTCACCCTCAATGGAGGTTTAACAGTTTTCATGTAATAGCCCGAGTCAACGAAGCATGTTATTTTAAAAGATTACATTTTTTGCATTCTAACATTGCATTGAGTAAGAGTGAATGGCCACGATTAATATGGCCTTTGTCAGAAATTCCTCCCTTCATACACTTTGTATCGGAATACCATTTTGCACCTGTCAACTAATCACTTTGTAAATTTCACTTTCTGTCCGGACATTTGTTTTCATGGTTTGCTGGATGCAACTTACGTTCAGTGACTTTCGTAAGTAAATTAACTGGGTATGTTTATATTTGTTAAAATCCCCTGAGATTAACTGGGACCTAGATCCTAGGAGAATATACGTAAAGCACCTGCCCGAGACTATGTACGAGTGTGATCTGCATGCCCAGTTCTCAAAATTTGGCCTGATCACTGAAGTCTTCGGGCCAAAGAACAAGATGGATTCGGCTTCTGTTCGGCGTGGCTTTGTCACTTTCCTTGAAACGGATTCAGTAAGACGCGTTCTTGAGGCCCAGCCACACCTGTAAGGCGACCATCACGTGGTTGTCCGCTTGGCAGGGAGAACACAGGACAACGGGTAAGCTTTTGATATGTACAGGAAATTGCAGTCGTCTCAGGCGAAAAAACCTATTGAATCTGGCCGTTTGGCCGAAATGTTATGCTTGTCTACCTTCACAGACAGAGGAGGTCAGCTCATCGAAAACATTGCAGCGTTTATCACTTACGCGTGTCATTAATTGAAAAAAAACATGCATGTGCTTATATAAGGTCCTCAGCTTGTCGTGACTGCTAATAGCAAAGCTGTAAGTTATACTTCATCTTTTGGGCTTGTCCGCAAGTTGTGGCAATAATGTGTGTCGGCGAAACGGGAACCTCCTGTGAGTATATGCGATGTAATGACTTAGCACCTACTAAATCCTATCCAGAATACAGTCATTCACCTTACAGATGATCGACCCAAGATTCAGATGAAAAATATCGCTACCAACGGAGGCATTTCTGATACTGTATCCTACCTTGCACTTTTTTACTTTACTCGACAACCCAGGATTACTTTCTTGAACGGCATGTTCACGGCAGCGCGCCTTATAATTATAACTATAGAACACTCTACTTAAATCAAATTAGTAGTCACATAGTTCTTCGGTATGACGAGGGAGGTTTCGTTTCCGTGCCCTACTGCACATCGATTCTAAAAGGAAGTGGCGTTCAGCAGATCCTCCTGACCTGAAAATAGAACACGAAACATGCTGGTTCTCGGTAGTGCTCCATTCTAGAACCCTCAGATTTGAGCCAATATGGACTAGCAGAGCACATAGTCACGGAGATTGCAGCCAACCCGGATACAATGTGTTTTGTCGATGAACCATGACTGGAATATGTTAGTCAAAACAAAATTTCAAATAAGGCGGATCAGCACTTACTTAATTTCTATGCATATAGGAGATTGTTGGGGTTAGTTATGTACGAACAGCACAGAATTCATATAAGTCTGCTGGTAGACCTCCTTCGGTCAGTTTTTGATGTGCCTTTGATGTTTTAATTCTCCATAGATCTTTGCATCCCAGAATCCTGGTACCAGATAGAGTGGAAGATGACCTTACCCAGTCTGACGATGAAAACGACGCTACTCTCGCCTCCTATGATCCTACAATATTCATCGGCCATTTGAAACATGAAGTTACCACGTCGCACCTGGAAGACAACTTTTTTCATTTTGGGAGGGTTTCAAAGGCTACCGGGGTCGGCAACCCATGGCTCGCGAGCCAGGTGTGGCTCTTTTGATGATTGCGTCTGGCTCTCTCAGGTGAAACTGGAATTAGAAACTTCAGATTGTGTGATTTTGGTTCCTTCATGAATATATCCAGAGGCTTATTATACTCACATTGAATTAAACTCAATCTTAAAATATATTATATGGGTCTCACAGGAACATATTTCCAAATATTTACTTTCTTGGCTCTCTGAGTCAAAAAGTTTGCCGACCCCTGCCCTAGTAGTACGCGATTGGGCAATTGGCGTGTCTCGCAGCTTTGGTTTTGCTACTTTTGCTGACTGCAGGGCTTTCGAGCGAGGGCTACTTAAGGCCTGTCACTTCTTCCACGGTTGTCGCCTCAGCGTCCAGCTTTTAAGAAACCACCCTGCGTCTCGTTTTTACACCGGCCAGCCACCGTTCCAGTTGAGTTTTGACCAATTCGTTTTTTTCCTTTTTCATAGAACGCTGTATTTTGTATTTATTTCGGTTATCCGTTCCGTTTTTGCCGTGCTTATCAAAGCTGCCTTCCTCTCAAAATGCACAATAACCTTTATTTAGTTACTGGATGAGCGTTAAGCAGGATAATTTGCTAATAATTGCTTACGTACATACGCCTCAAACGTTCCAGGTTATTGATACATCCGGCTAACTGACGTAATGGTCACCCGCAGAATATATTATCTCTAGGCAATAAAGTCGGCTGGGATGGTTTAGGCACTTTCACCTAACAGACTATTCTCTGATGCCCTTGATCCAGTGCAACAGCCGTCCTGGAAACGCCAAAGAGGAGAGAAATTTAGGGCTTGGCTCGACACCATTTGCATACACCTGGAAGCTATTCTTGGACCCTCGGCTTTCGTCTCTGTCGCTGGAGAGAAGAATAGGCGGTGGCTTCCAGATCCACTCCTGCTAATCGTCACGCATGGAGCGGAACCATATATTCCATAATTGTGACCCATTAGATCAGGTATGATCACAGTCCTCTCAAGTGCAAGGCAAGTAAAAATAAGTTGGGTAACATTCATCTGTCAGGAAAACCAACAAAGCCCGTAAGACAACGCAAGATATTTGACATTACCCGAGCCTATTGTGGTCAATCATATATTTTCAGTGTTTATTCTACTAAAAATCTCAGTCCGTGCAGTTGATGAAAATGCGGCTTAGCAGAATTCTACTAAGAAATTCTAATTATTTGTCATTTAATGTGATATTATGTCTGCAACGAATGCGGACGATATCTGACCATCAGCTGCTGGTGCATATTCTCCAACTCATTTTGCAGATTCGCTTTTACGAAGTTTTTAATTAATACTAGTTTAAATAATTTCTTTCGAGAATTTTAAATAGCTATATATTGATGTCTTTTCTGTTCTTTTAATACGTAGTCTAATTCGATGTTCCGAACGAAGTTGCAAAGCCTTCGAAGTGAGGCAAATCAGTTAAAGCAAGCATGGAAAGTCCTGATTCTACGTCGACAGCAAGTTAAGCAAAAACGTAGTACACTTTTCAAGCTCGTACACAGTGCAGCCGGTGTCTTGGAAGCTGCCTGCATAACTGCACGTTTAAGGGCCGAAGAACTTTTGGATCAGGTTCAAGCGCAATCGGAGGAAGAACTTTCCAGTCTTCTGAACGCCGGGAACCTCTTGAAACTGGCAGGAAAGTTAATTCAGATTGTGAAGAATCCTATCCTGTACCAGGTAGGAATGCACTATTGGTCCATACAATACTCTTGGTGTATGCATTTATTAAATAACAGTGTCATGCTACATCTTTTAAGGATCAGAATTAAGTGAACTCAGACTAACACTCACTAAATCGGCATACTTGCAGGTTGGAATGAAGCATTTTTATGTTGCATATCT